GATAATCTTGCCAGATAAAGTAATCTTGGTTTGAGGCCCTTCTGCTTCATTTCATTATATACATTGTGCCATTCCCTTCTGGCCTTTAAGGTTTCTGCTAAGAAGACTGGTGATAACCTGATGGGCTTTCCTTTGTATGTGATCTCATTTCTCTCTCTGGCCGCTTTTAATAGTCTGTCCTTATCCTTGATCTTTGCCATTTTAATTACTATATGTCTCAGTATTGTCCTCCTTGGGTCCCTTGTGTTGGGAGATCTGTGTACCTCCATGGCCTGATAGACTATCTTCTTCCCCAGATTGGGGAAGTTTTCAGCAGTTACCTCCTCAATAACACTTTCTATCCCTTTTTCTCTCTCTTCTTCTTCTGGTACCCTATAATGTGAATATTGTTCTGCTTGGATTGGTCACACAGTTCTCTCAATATTCTTCCATTCTTAGAGATCCTTTTTTCTCTCTGTGCCTCAGCTTCTTTGTATTCCTCTTCTCTAGTTTCCATTTCATTTATCATCTCCTTCACTGTATCTAATCTGCTTTTAATACCCTCCATTGTATTCTTCAATGATTGGATCTCCGGCCAGAATTTGTTCCTGAGTTCTTGAATATCTTTCCGTACCTCCATGAGCATGTTAATGATTTTTATTTTGAACTCCCTTTCAGGAAGATTCATGAGGTCGATGTGTTTTCAGTCTTTCTCAGGAGTTGTATTCAGAATTTTACTTTGAAGCAAGTTCCTTTGGCATTTTATATTTGTATATGGCCCCCTCTAGTGCCCATAAGCCCTACTCTCTGGAGCTGCTCAGCCCCTGAATCAATGTTGGGGGTCACAGGGGAGTGATATTGGTGCCTGTGGGGAGGAAAGAGCTGTTTCCTGCTTCCTGGCTGCTATGCCTGTCTCTACCGCCTGAACCATTGGCTGAGCACACAGATATAAGCGTCTATGCATTGTGTTTGTAGTTGCTGTAGACCCGACTTCCCTCTGGCTGGCCTAATGCTAGGGTAGGGTTTGCCGCTTTGCAAGCCAGCTGGGGCTGGCCGGGAGAAAGGTGCCTGCAGTAGGCTGCTTATCATGGAGGGGTACTTGGAGCTGTGTAGGCAGCCAGGGAGCTGGAGCACCTGAAGATTGTGAAAGCTCCCAACCTGCTGGTCAGAGTACACCCGGACAATTTTGTCTCCCTGTCCTTTCTCGTGATCAGTAAGCTCTGTGCAATCCTTGCCCCTTTAGCAGCCCTCTTGTTGTTAGGAAGTCTCTGAGACTGCCCACCTTCTTTTGTCCCAGAGCAACCGGATATGGATCCCTGCTTTCCACAAGTGGCTGGAATCTCAGTCTCTCCAGGAATTCTGCCTGTCTTAGCTTTCCAACCCACTAATCACAAGCGTACCATGCAAGCACCATGAGCTGGGATGGAGGAAGGGCTTGGGTCCGACTGAGCCGCTGCTTTGGTACATTACCCTGTTCAGTGAGGTTTATTCTTTTCACCAGGTATATGCAGTTTGGCCCAGTCTTCTTTCCTGTTGCTCTTTCAGGATTAGTTATATTAATTACATTTTCGTATTATATGTGGTTTTAGGAGGAAGCCTCTTTGTCACCTCTCACACCGCCATCTTTAATCCTGGGGCTCTGTCTTTATCATCCATCTTTCCAGGAACTCAGGACTTTGTATGTTAGATCGCAGCCCCTGTTTCTCTGTTGCTGAGTTGAGGTGCTTGCTTTATCAGAAAAAGGGAAATTTTATATACTGTTGGTTCCTAGCTGTGGGAGCCCACATACTTTTGGTGGGTGATGAAAGTCACTTTGCTTTATTGAGATTCAAGACCTACATCTCAAATATAAACTTTGTCCTACTGGACTGACCATTGTCACTTTTGATTATACAAACATTTGTTGAGTGTCCAAACAGTTCCATCAGTATTCCATATGAACAGTTGATAATGCGAGCATGGAATTGTATGGCATGACCCTGAGGTCATACCCCCAAAAAAATCCTAAATCATGGATAAAATCAGCCTGTTCCCAAAATGGCTTCCAGTGTCATCATAACTCTATTTTGAGCATGATAAGAACATACATATTCATATGCATAAACTCATACAGATGTGTTTGTCTCAAAAATATGCTGTGCTGTTCTACCTCATAACAGTTCAAAAGACCTAAATCATAGCCCTAACTCCATTTACATTTGCTTTTTTTTTTGAAATGTTTCTTATTACATTTACATAATGCCCTCTTAACAACTTTTCATATTCTGGCAGGGAACATGGTAACATGGTTGCTAACTAAGGATTCCTGGAACCTAAGTTCAGAGAATGCTACCTACCTTGATTTAATTGCAGTAAAAGCCAAGACTACAGTCACATTGTCACCTTGGAGGAGCAGTGACAAAAATTTTTCACACAAACTATAGGAAATATGACATTCTTACAAATTTCTTAATCCTCTTAAAGGCACAGCATTTTCACAACCAGCAAAGACCAGTTTGCTCTGTCTGCAGGTAGAATTCACTGAAATATGAAAAGTCAGTCAAAAGGCAGCCCATTGTCTCATTTTCCTAGGATTTTGCTTCTCCAGTGGTCTGGGGGAAGTTTACTTACTTACCTTCTCTCTGCAATGAGCTCTTTATATAAATGAATTCTTTTGAATGTTGCACAATGAAATCTTAGGCTTTTATCTAAGAAGTTTTAAAAAGCCATCCACCAATCCAGTGTCACTGTGATGCTTTCTATTATACAGAGTGACTTTTGTTTTACACTGTTGCATGAGAAGGCTGATGTGGGAGGCACAGAGCCAAATAGCAAATAACTCAAAGCCCCTTCGTTTCCCCAGATTGCTTCATCCCTTTGATAGCTCTCCCTGCAGGGAGAGAGTAAGGATCTGGCTGTATTAAGGACTTCTTTTGTAATAGGCACAGAGCCTACCACCACTTTTTATTTGTTGAGACCTAATCAGGTAGGTGCTCAGCCTAATTCTCAAGCCAAGATGAAGTCTCTCCCTGTGGGAGTTGCCTGCCAAACATGAGCTGCATTCAGACATTTGAAGCAAGCCAGCTGAGAAAAGGGTTGAAATGTCAGTGGTGTGCAATAGATTTTACTGCGATTTCTTGATTTGTTTTTTCTTTGTGTGGTATAAAAAAAGAACTAAGTACTAAATGTGTTTCTGTAATTTAGCAATTAGTATTGCTAAATTAAAATGAAGCAATAATGTCAAGTTTTATGCTGTTTTAAAAATATTCCAGTGTATCCAGTTATTTGCATGTTGCAGACTTGGAACCTTACCATCTCACTGGAGTAGGCAGCATAAGGTGGAGTCAATTCTATGCAGTTATAGAACTCTCAGGGAGCTCTCATGCCTGTGGGTCATGTTAAGGCTGTTGAGCTTCCTGGTCAACTAGATAGTGTGCAGTGGAGGGAGGAAAGCAAGCAAGGATATTTTCCTCTATGAAATTTTCTGTGTTATTAGTATTCTGAATGTTTTGGATTAGAAATTGGAAAAAGATACTTCAAGTTCACAGTCCCTTATATAAAACAGTAGGAGTTGGATATGTTTCAGAATTCAGAAATTTCCAGATTTTAGAGGGGTAATAAAATGTTTGCACCATATAGTAGTATTTCCAGTGAGATCTGGAGCAGCACCCCACAATGAAACAGATTATTATTTCCATTGGAAAAATACATGAATATTCACACAAAAAGGAGTAAAAGTATTAATGTCATCCCATTAGAAGTTTTGCAGCTAAATGTGTTTGCTTAAATTTGGTTTTTACCTTTCGACTTCAGAATTGCAAATAAGAGCAATGGACATATCTTGCAGTGGTAGAAAGAAAGGAAGATAAGCCTGGTTGAGTCCTGTAATATTTAATAGAGCCCAATCACAGGACTGAAAAATTTATGATCTCATGTCTTTTTTTTCCATTCTTTGACTTTCTCTTTGCTTACATATCAAACAGGTAATATTTGCTTTGTAGGCTTTTGTGAGGATAAGCTAATGTATGCTTAATACTAAACACAGTGATTGGCATATAGTGAGTATTCAATAAATGTTAGCTGTTAAAGTTTTGCCTCTTCCCTTCCCCTTTCCTTTTATAAGATTAAATTTTACCTATACGGTGGTTGCAAACATTTACTCTGGAACTAGGCCTAAGTGATAGGGATTGCCCTGATTTCAGTGGAGAATTTAAAGTCTAAACCTCTATATTCAAAACTCATTTGTTATTAAATGCCTAATACCTCCTTAAAATTTGTTTGTAGAGTGACTAGACTTTTCAGTGACGAGTAAATGTTTTGATTAATGTTATGTTTAAATCTCTTGAATGTTTTATGTTAACTGTCTCCAAGGAAGGAATATTTGCTGCTAGCTGATGTGCTATTATGAAGCACTTTTAAAGTTTCTATCTAGGCCCTCATCTTTTAGATAAATATTTGAAAAGCACATTCATAGTGCTCTAACAAAGATATAACTGGGGTTTATAATTTAATATGTTGAAAAATGACATTGGGAGATACATCTTAACAGTTTTACCAAAAAAAGCCCTGCAAGGACATTAATGGGATTTTTAGTATAATACAATGTATTTTAAAGTATCTCTGTAAAGTGGGCCTCCGGTTTTAAATTCCTAACGGCTGCCTTTTTTAAAAGAGGGAGATCACTGAAAAAGAATTGCTGTTTGTTGCCAGGCTGTTTTTTCACACAGCCTCATTTTGCACTTTGTAATTCATTCACAGAAATTCCCTTAAGTATCAACATCTGTTCTAACGATGCGTGATCTTGACATACAGGAAATTTTAATGTATTTTTTCTGGCCTTTTAATTCATGAAATTGTAATTATAGATGCTTGCTCTACTGTATTTTTTGGATTAGAGACAAAAGAAGTAAAGCAGAAGGATTTCAAGAGAACAGAGATATTAGCTCTTTGATGGGCACATGCCCTACAGGAGTTATTAGCATTTAAGTGGGGCAGAGTGGATTTGCCTATATTTATATGCATTGTACTGCCTGCCTTCACAGCTGAACTATAAACAGAAAGTAGGCATCATGTACTGTAAAGCTGGACAGAGCACTGAAGAAGAGATGTACAACAATGAGTCTGCTGCCCCAGCCTTTGAGGAATTCCTTCAGCTGTTGGGGGAACGTGTTCGGCTCAAAGGATTTGAGAAGTATCGTGCACAGCTTGACACCAAAAGTAAGAAATACTTGTATCCTCCTACTAGGCTTATTTTCTACCTGCTGTGTTGATGTTTATCTGCTAAATTACCCATAAAACAGGATTGCCATTTATGCAGAAAACTGCTGGTGATGGGGGAGAGGAAGCCAGAGAGGATGTAGCACCTGAACAATTGAAGACCATAATCAAAGTAGCTAGGATTGGACCATAAATAGGAAAAAAATGTTGTCAGAGGTGTGGATGGAGTACAGCAGTAGATGCAAGATCATGCAGAATTTCTCCTGGATAGTGTTGCATAAATTTCACTATATTTAGTGGACTGTTAGAGTGATTAAAAATTCTGGAATCGTGTAACAAACTGGTTCTAAGCCCTAGAATTTTTGATGTTCATTAATTCATTTCATAATCCTTATGTTTATATAGGCAGCTGTTGTATTGTTTACTTAGTTCATTTCTGTATTCTTTTAATATTTTGGACGTTTTTATTTTCTATTTTTATTGCCCATATGCTAATGTAATAGATGTCTTTAACTTTCCTATTAATTTGGTTCCTTGATTAAAAGCACAGTAATGAAGCATCTGTTTAGCTACAGCTAATAACATACAAGGCTGTCCACTCCCATTCCCTAAATTGTTAATAAGTAGTTAAGTTCTCAAGTCCCTATTTCGTTTAGAGTATGTTGACTTCTGCTGTGTGTCTGGGTGGAAGCAATTTTAGATTTTATCTCAAAATCCATCCATGGACACCCGTGACCTGTTTTTCTTTGAGAAGGTCTTTGGATTAGCAGATCTGTATTGCAGTCTATAGTAATCTCTCTGATATTCTGTACAGGAAATTAAATAAGGAGTTGAGTCATGAAAACAGAACAGTATTCATAAACTCCACTGCAGGGAAGAATTTCCTGTTGCCATGGTTTTGCTGTTGCCAACTTAGAAACGACATGCAAGAAAGATTATTAAAATCCATAAATAGCCTAGATGCTTAAATATTATTTAACATTCCATATTCTGTGACTGCATAAAATGTTAAATCTCAATGTGCCCTTAAACATTTTTTCCCAGATATTCTCATTTGTACCCTGTGCAGTTAATTCACCTTGTCTCAGTTTGTTATATAAATTATCACCACCACAAAGAGCTATATAGAAAGTCTTTAGGAAGAGAGTGTAATAAGCACCCTGGTTGTATAAATGAATGGCCAGATTGGGAGTTGATAAGATTATGAATCACTTCTGTATTAACACATTCTCAGCCATCTCTGGAATTTGAAGGGCAGTGTGAGAAATGTATAGCAAGGCTGTGCTTAAGTAGTGTGGCATTAGGTAAGGCAGTGGGATAATAAGGAAAGTAAGCACTGTGCATATTTTGTTCCAATATCCTAAGCACTGCAAAGGCTAGAGGCGATTGAGCCTGGATTAGTAAACTGCCTCTAATGGCAAGCTTTACTGTTATGTAATATTCAGCAAGGAAGGGTTCCTTTTCGCTGAACTACTGTCCTTAAGGCTCCTTGTAACCTTCAAGCATAGCTTCTGAGTAGAAGAGTTCCTGGTTTCCATTTTTGTCCTTTCAGAGTGTCAAGTTTCCCAAAGGGAATGAAAAGTAGGGAAGTATTTCCATTCTAAAATCCCAAAGAAGGCAGTTTGCATATTTTCTCTCTTACTCAAAGCTAAGAGAGTCGAAAACTAGAGGGGACCACCAGCCTCATCATTTAAACAAAGACCATAGAAATAGGGAACAGCCAGTGTCTGTCTGCACACTCTAGCAGCCTCTTATTGGCCATGACACAGAGATGAAATTTTGCTCAGTGTTTTGTAAGATAATCTCCCCACATTTTATCTAACTTTATTTTGTGTTGAGAAACTCTTTCTTTCAGTATAATCCTTAAAATGAAAACACTTTCCAGAAAAAGTGTTCCAGCCCCATCCTTCTATACCTCCAATTACACATATGTTAAATCACTTGCTAGTGTACCACAGGTTGAGGCTCTGTTGACTTAATTTTTTTAACCTTTTTTCCTATGTGCTTCCATTTGTGTAATTCCTATTAATGTCTTCAAGTTCACTGTGTTTTTCTTTTCTTCCATAGTGTCTTAATCTGCTACTAATGCAATCCATGGAATTTTCATTTCAGATATTACAGTTTTCAGAGCCAGAGTAGCATTTGGTTCTCTTTTCTTGTATTTTACATTTTATCCTCATCAAGTTCATGTTGTCCTTTAAATACCTGAACATATTTGTAATAGCTGTTTTAAAATCTTCATGTGCTAATTCCATCAGCCCCATCACTTGGGGTCCACTTTTAACAGATTTTCTTCTGCTTTTGAGTTACATTGGACTGCTTCACATGTCTGGTTATTTTTGAATGGATAGTGGACATTTGAATGTTTCATTGTTGAGTGTCTGGGTTTTATTGTTTTCTTTAAAAGTGTTGAGTTTGTTTTGGCAGGCAGTTAAGTTACTTACAGAATAGCTTGGTCTTTATGAATCTTGCTCTTAAGTTTTATTAAAGCTTACCTAGAACAGCCTTTACTCTCTGACTAATTTAGTCCTGCTACTAAAGCATGACTTTTTTTGCATCATAATACCTGTGTATTCAGTGAGATATCTCTATTATGGCTGGTCAGAACTGAATTACCATCCAAACCTGTGTGAACTGTGAAAATTGTTTGGCCTAAAATTCTCTGAAAGTTTTCTTTCCCTAGTATTTTTTTTTTAACTGAGGTATAATTGATATATAACATTATATTAGTTTCAGGTATACAACATAATTATTCAATATTTGTATATATTGTGAAATGATTATAATAAGTATAGTTAATGTTTTTTACCATACATGGCTACCATTTTTTTTATATGATGAGAATTTTTAAGATCTTTTTTAACAGCTTTCAAATACTGGTATTATTAACTATAGTCATCATGCTGTACATTATCCTAATAGTTTTTCTTTACCTGGCTTTTAGAATTTAACTGTATGTGTGTGCAGCTTAATATTCAGCCCAAGGTCCAGAGGGACCCCTATGCTGATTTCTGAATTTCTTTGCCTAAGTAGTTGCCTCCTCTTTGGTACTCTGCCCAGTAGATACCAGCCACCTCACGCTTCCTGAGTCACAGTATGTTTTGGCTTCCCTCTTTAAAGCCATGGTGCATACCATCGTTCCAGAGGTGCCCTGAGGTAGAAAACCCAGTGGGCTGATAGGGCTCACCTTCTTGGATTCTTTTTCTTGGGGATCATCAGTCCAGTGCTGCCTACTGTAAAATGCCTGAAATATTTTTGTCAATTTTGTCAAGATACTTTATCAATTTTTCTAGTTACTAATAATGGGAGAGGAAGTCCTATACCAATTACTGTTGGTGGCCAAAAGCAGAAATCCCAGATACTTTTTTTATATACCAGCTCAGTTAATCCCTACAAGCCCTCCTAAATACCAGCTATCACCATTTTACAAAATCAACTTCTTTAGATTAACTGACATGCCCAACATTAGGCAACTAGTAAGCACTAGGGAGAGAGAACAGATCCTAGTGGTATGGTTCCTGAAGTATTCAGAGAAAGCATAAATGCAGAATAAGGCCCAGCAAAGCACAGAGCTCTGTCTTGTGGCAGTGTCTGCCCCTCTCTCAAGCCCTTGGGCTAAAAGTACCCAAGCCATCTCAAGAGACAGCCCTGCTTGTCCTGTGTTATAATTAAATTCAGATTTTGTACTTTGGTAAAGGAGGGAAAGGTTCAGGGAAGGAAGGATTGATGGATCTATTGAACTATTTCTTCTTTTCCCTAATTTCCCATACAAAGTCCACTTCCCACCTCAGAAATAAGGACTTCTTATAATAAAAAAGCTACAACTGTGTCAGGGGTTGAAGCAATTTTGCAATGAAGAAGTTTTCAGTACTGGATTTTTTTTTCTCCTTTCTTTGTTTCCTCATTTGGATGACCTAACCTCTAGATAATTACCATCCCCTTACAAGATAGTAAATACAAAATAAACTTCCCACCAAGCAGTTCATTATTTGAAAGCTGGAGACCACCCTCATTTTAAGCTGTGCATAAAGATTATTAGTTGGGAAATTATTTTCTGAGTGAAGATCATTTGTCAAATTTGCACGTAGGAGGCTTAGAAGCCCTTTATAAAGTATTCCCTCAAAGCCCTGCTTCCATTAATTTATTGCAGCATTAGTGAATGCTTGTTGTTTCCTCTATTTTTTTTTTTTAGCAGTGTTGTAAAGACCACTGAGATTCAGGGTCTTAGAGGAGATATAAGACTTTTCATAAAGAAAGTAAATCCTTTCTTATATGGAATACTTAAACTTTGGATAGAAAGGATAAAACTAGCATTCTTTAAATGCTTTGCACAGGCATAAGGCAATTTGGAGTTGTAGACGCTGATGAATGAGGAAAAGGGTTCTTTTTTCCACCTCCTTAATTTTTAACTGTGTTACAGTATAAGGTTTTTCCTGTGAGTGTTCCTGAGACACACTTGGCAAACGTATTAAGATACGTAAAAGGTCTTGTTTACAGAAACTATACTTTTTACCTCAACTGCATTAAATTCTAACAACACATTCCTGGAGCGTCTTTCATGGGCCAGCACTTCTCATACACATTATTATACTTAATCATCGTAACTGTGAGAATATCAAGGGGCAAAGAAGTAAAGTGACTTGTTTATGGTCTTTTAGCAAATTCTGCTATGGGCATAATTCAGATCTTGCTTCCAAATATCAAACATCCAGGTCAGTGCAGGTATCTTACAAAGTGAATAGTAGCAGATTCCTAAGTACTGACCCCACACCGTCTCTTGTCCTCATCTCTCAGTATGTTAGTGATTTTGAGAGGCCTCGGGTCCCAGGTATATTCATTCACACGCACACTCACAATTCCTTAACTGACACAGTATGAGTTCACCTGTCATGTGAAAGAATAATACTACGAACTCTTGCTAATCCCATCCTCATGAAAGTAACCAAGCCATCTCCTGGCCATGGCAAAGGTACATTGAAAAAATGGTAAAAATGGTGGGTGCCAGAACAGGTAGAATTCCTGACTCCTCCAAATACTTAATTAGTGAGTGAAGTAGTATCACAAGGGCAAATGCTTACCTGATCGCAAATGTGTGCCAGTGTTCCAGATGTCAGTACTTGGGCCTGGCTGTGCTTCTGAGCATTGACTTCTGCATTCCCAGACCCAGAGGCAAGGCTACATAGATGGGAGATACTGGAGTTTTAAATAGATGGCCCTTAGCAGCCAGCCGACTATTGTAATATTTCAAACTAGGGATAAAAATCAGACCCAAACCTGTCTGTGATTTCATTTTCAATTTGATGGGTTCTGTAGTGGTGAAGACATTAGTAAACTGAGCTTAAAGCTTTCTGCATTCTGTTGATTTTACTAGTCTGCATAGCATTTAGTTGATGAGATTACTGTTTTCCTTGTGTTCATAAATATTTAAAACGAGGAACTTGCCAAAAATCAAATTACATAGGCTTGTTTTCCTTCATCTAGCTCTTCTTAACTCAAACATACCTGTTTGTGACCGAGAAATAGTTATATAAAAGTCTGGTTACTTTTTCCTGGTTCAAATTCTTAGACGCTGATGAATGAGGAAAAGGGTTCTTTTTTCCACCTCCTTAATTTTTAACTGTGTTACAGTATAAGGTTTTTCCTGTGAGTGTTCCTGAGACACACTTGGCAAACGTATTAAGATACGTAAAAGGTCTTGTTTACAGAAACTATACTTTTTACCTCAACTGCATTAAATTCTAACAACACATTCCTGGAGCGTCTTTCATGGGCCAGCACTTCTCATACACATTATTATACTTAATCATCGTAACTGTGAGAATATCAAGGGGCAAAGAAGTAAAGTGACTTGTTTATGGTCTTTTAGCAAATTCTGCTATGGGCATAATTCAGATCTTGCTTCCAAATATCAAACATCCAGGTCAGTGCAGGTATCTTACAAAGTGAATAGTAGCAGATTCCTAAGTACTGACCCCACACCGTCTCTTGTCCTCATCTCTCAGTATGTTAGTGATTTTGAGAGGCCTCGGGTCCCAGGTATATTCATTCACACGCACACTCACAATTCCTTAACTGACACAGTATGAGTTCACCTGTCATGTGAAAGAATAATACTACGAACTCTTGCTGATCCCATCCTCATGAAAGTAACCAAGCCATCTCCTGGCCATGGCAAAGGTACATTGAAAAAATGGTAAAAATGGTGGGTGCCAGAACAGGTAGAATTCCTGACTCCTCCAAATACTTAATTAGTGAGTGAAGTAGTATCACAAGGGCAAATGCTTACCTGATCGCAAATGTGTGCCAGTGTTCCAGATGTCAGTACTTGGGCCTGGCTGTGCTTCTGAGCATTGACTTCTGCATTCCCAGACCCAGAGGCAAGGCTACATAGATGGGAGATACTGGAGTTTTAAATAGATGGCCCTTAGCAGCCAGCCGACTATTGTAATATTTCAAACTAGGGATAAAAATCAGACCCAAACCTGTCTGTGATTTCATTTTCAATTTGATGGGTTCTGTAGTGGTGAAGACATTAGTAAACTGAGCTTAAAGCTTTCTGCATTCTGTTGATTTTACTAGTCTGCATTGCATTTAGTTGATGAGATTACTGTTTTCCTTGTGTTCATAAATATTTAAAACGAGGAACTTGCCAAAAATCAAATTACATAGGCTTGTTTTCCTTCATCTAGCTCTTCTTAACTCAAACATACCTGTTTGTGACCGAGAAATAGTTATATAAAAGTCTGGTTACTTTTTCCTGGTTCAAATTCATAAGCATACACCTCATCATGCAAGTTTTAGACTACCTGAAAGCAAAAGAGTTGAGCCAAAAGAGAAGTCAAGGATTATTATGGCACTGGCCATTTCTGAAACTGCTCTATAAACTTCTTAACTTGTTCATACCATCTTCAAACAGAAATGCCTAATATTCTCATTTATCTCCACCTTTTCAAAGCAGCTGAAGAAGAATATTCTTATCATTCCTCAATTATTCAGTGACGTATTATCTAGTCTGAATATTTGTAATTTTAACTTTCTGTGACTTAGCAGAGAGTACTGACTTTATTAGTGGATATATGCCACCCGCTGGTGCTGTGATTTGCAGACAAATCATGTGATTGTCAAGATGACCCATAAGATGCCTGAATTTACTTTTTTAACTTTGAAGACTCCACACAAAAATGAAAGGAGCATTATCTTCTCCAAGCATCTTTTCCCTTTAGAAATAGCTCAGTGTAAGCCCTCTTTGCTAGAGAAGAAAGGATTTTTGTCATTTTCCTAATTGACATTTTCCTGATTGTCATTCTTTCAAATCTTGCATGGTTTCAAGGCCACTAAAAATAGAGTAACATTGGATGCTTTATTCTTTAGAAAATAAGTACTCACTTTCCATTTCCTCTAATAAAGTTTAGCAATTCTATTATATACATAGTTTTTTCAGGATTTTGGAATTCCTTTCTTCCTGGGAAAGAAAATCTCATTTGGTTTGACCCTCTTTCCATCTCTAAAACTTTTGTAACTGTTCACGCTGTTTAAAAATTATCAGCAAAACTCTGGGGTTTCCAAAGGTTCTCAGAAAAAGGATGGTCAGGTAGCATACATTATACAAAATGAGGGATGCAGTGGAAAGAGAGAAAGTCCTAGAAGTAGAAAAACAATTACCTTCAAGGTTGTCTTTTAGTCTGTTTTCCTCTCTGGAAGCAATTCTTTTAGGATTAGGCAGACATAAAAGCAAAATGTAATACATGAATACTTAGATGACAGTCTTTTTCCAGTTCATTAATTTTGCTTAAGATTGACTTGAAACACATGTATGCGTCAAAGCTGACACATTCACTTTAAAGTTTTAAAATGTACTAATCAGTTCTAGAGATATTTATAGCGAGGGTTTTTAACAATAGATAAGTTATTTAGACTCAAGACCTGTCTTAAGTGGTTCAGTGATTTATTGTGGTAAATTGTATTTGTGGTGGTGGTGGTCATTAACATTTAGAATTTTCTTTGGGGAATCACACATTGATACATATTTTTGCAATTTTTGAAAACTAGTCTGCTTTATTCTACTTTTTGCTTGCTTTTAACTCTTTGCATTTTATTTTGACTTCAAAAATTCAGATCCTCCAAGAAGCTCAAGGTTAAAATAAAACTCAGGGCTCTAGAACATTTTACAAGTCTGTCTGCAAGCCACCATTGTCTGTTTTTGGAGCAGTGCCTCAGGGCAGTGAAGCCACTGCATTATAGTCACCCTGGGGGGTATCTATTAAGATAGATTCCTCTGCCCAGGCCCACACCCAGTAAACAGTATTTCTCAGAGTGGGGCATGGGTATCTAGTTCCCAGGTACCACCGCACACCCTGAATTTTGAGAACTACAGTCTTTTGGTATACACCAGAGGCTGCGTCTTGCAACATCATTCTCTAAAATCCAGTGGGGTGTTTGGGTTCTCAACAATATGGCTGATGAAGGCTTCAGATCCCCAGAATGTGCACTTCCATTCATCTTGTAGCCTGTAAGTCCAGGTCCTTCGAGTCTAAAGATACTACCTTTCAATTGGGCAGTTAATAGTTCTCTTTTTCCATGTTTTTTGGGCTCATTGATTCTGTAACGATTAAGGCAATAGAGGATGTTGGGTGTTATTTTCCTTAAGGAAGGTGAGAACAGAACACTCAGTCTTAAAAATTTATTCGACATTGCTATAATACCTTTGTTAATTCAGTGTTACAGTTTTCATTTAATTTCCATCTGTTTGTTAAGAACAAAACTGTTCTCTTGCTTGAATTAGAAGGACTGGAAAAGATGTTCTTAACTTGATTTCTGTGGGCAGAGTTCAGGAATCTGAACTTGAATGGTAAATAATTTTACATTTATTTCATGGACCCACTTAGTTGACATTTAGCATTTTCTTCCATTATGAACTAGGCTACAAACACAGTAGCGTAAGTCCTACCTGTGATTTTCATTTGTAATGGAAAGCACAGGTATTTGCATATCATTGTTTCTTGTTGGAGATACCTCCAAGTATTTTTTATGCACATCACTACGAAATTTTAGTATTTATTAGACCAACTGCTAAAATTTGTTAGATAAGTGTATGCTATTATATCATTTTTAAATTATTTTGATAATTTATTTTTTAACATAACTGACTTGTGTCGAAATCTTCTATATTTTATTTTATGTGTTTGCCAATACTATTCTGAGAAGAGATCCATAGGCTTCACTAGACTGCCAAAGAGCCAGGGACAAAAAAAATGGCTAAGAACCCTATGCCAGAGCTTGTTTTGGCCCTTTTCATCCTAAACCTACCCCTAACCCCCTCCCACACCCTTTTTTTTTTCTTTTAACTGAGTGACTGTTTCTAGTCTTACTGTCATCTCATAGTTATGTATTTATATTTTCTACTGTAGCTGACTCCACAGGAACCCATTCTCTATATACAACATACAAAGACTATGAAATTATGTTCCATGTTTCTACCATGCTGCCATACACACCTAACAACAAGCAACAGGTAAGGGATCCTTGTGTTTTCTGTGGTTTTTTTTGCCCTCATTTCATTTTCCCCAGAAGCCTAAGTGGCAAGTTTGTAAAACCTTAAACCAGAATTAAATGTTGCACCTGTCACAGCCACAGGAAGCTTTGTAGGCTTGGTGGAAGTAAGGAATAGCAAGTGAGCGGAAAACAAATGAAGAGACACGAATTCTAGGTTAACAGCCAGCTGGATGGCTTTGTGAATTAATCATTTGCTTTTCACCCACGGGGATTGAGGTTTTCGTGAAATCCTAAGAGAATGAGTTTAAATCATGATGATTAGATGACTCTGCAGGATTGCAAAGAACATATATGAGTGGGTGAAGTTTCATCTCAAGAGGCCAATGTACAAAGCAGGAAAGCATGGATGTTTCATTTCAGATTTCAAGGGAAGTTTGATGTACATGGAGAAAACTCAAGGGTCAGCGGGATATCAGAGAAACGTTTCTTCTTAACATCTTGATCAGAAGATATCAAAGAACATAAGTAACAATTACACTGTATACATCATACACAGAATTGCTTTTAAAAAAGATCTAAAAGCACAGTGCCAGTGACTAAACTGTAGTCAGTGAGATAGTCTAGGGTGAAAACTGAGCAGTGGCAGATGGTGACAGAGCAAAATGGAACCTGGCAGTATTGCCTTAGAGTATATGGTAGTTGTTTTTAAAAAATATTTCAAAATAAATAATTGCAAACTTAGAATGTTAGAGCACTAACAGACTCCCCTTTCAGTAGCTGTTATAAACACAGGCAGTCCAGCATTGCTTCTGACCTTAGCATGGATAGAGATTTTGTTATTGTCAATTGTACTAAGAGAACACAGGCCAGCTGCAGAATGAATCACATCCTCTTTCACAGCATTTAGCCAAACACAAATCTAATCCAACACCTCATCATTTTAGTTTTGATTAAACAAATCTAGGTAACAAAACTTTGCCTTTTATGATTACCAAAGTAATCAAAAATAGGAAGCAAAGCAATAAGTCAGCTTGGAATCTGAGATAAACATATTTTTAAGATAAATTCCCTGATTTAGAGTTTGGTGACAGTTTGTTTAGTGCAAATTCCAAGTTATGGCTTTCTCTGAGAAGAAAACATCTGCTAAGAAAAATATACTAAGCTTCTTACTCAGACTAGTCAGTGGACAAAAAAAATCTAATATTAACAATTGTCTCTAAAAGGGAGATAAAGGCTTATATAGCAGCAGAGAAAAAGGTAAGGTGTGGAGGGGTAAAAAATCTAGATTCAGTTGTTTATTTCTAACTAAATGAGTGTAAGTGCTGAGCAGACTGAGTTGGCATTTGAATGGTCGGCTATCTAAATTGTTTAATTTCGGAGTCCAATCAAGGCAAAGGTATTATGGTCCTAAATCAGAATGAAAGAGTGATTGGAAATGCTACCTATTAAGAAATTTTAATTCTCTAGCTAAAGAACTTGGTATAGATTATGTTTGGGAAAAACATAAGGAACATATCTTTTGAAATATTTTTTTGCAGGAATTTGTTTATAAATACTATCTTCCATTATATAATAGAAGATGGATAGATGGTTTTATTTCTATTTGAATCCTTTTTTAAGACATCAATATTACATATCAAACCATGTTTTGAAAAAAAGGGATGACATTGCATCAAAAAACAATGGCATGATAGCAGGAATGACGTAAAAGACAAATTATATTTTGAGTATGTCCAAGATCTTCAGTAGATTAATAATCTTTAATAATGGGCATGTTCTGCATAACAGCCAATACAGACCAGCCCTTATTTTTATAACTTCTGCTAATATATCATGTTTAGAAATGAAGTAAACAGTCTTTTTAGAAGATAATTTGGGATGCTTTAAAATTCCTAAGGTTAAAATTACATTTCCTGAACATTTCTCTTAATACTCAACCCTAATCTAAAAGGGTTAGGGTTTTGTTAGAAACAGTTAAGACTGTTGTTTCTCCCAGCTAGCCTGATAATACTAGAACATTGATTTTAGCATGTAATTTGTGTAAGAGAATTTTTTAAATGTTTTCTAAATGCAAGCTTTTGTTTAACGGATAGTTTATATAAATGTCATGTTTAGTTGTTTATCTTCCTTGTAACAGCCTCCATATAATAAATAAAAGAAATACTAATTTTTTTCAGTTTTTCATCACACTGTTCAGTTAAACTATCTAATAAACATCCCTCCAACCCTGAAAAAATCACTGGCCTAGGATGATTTGGGGTGCCTGAATTTGAAAGCCACCTTTCTAAATCACCAGTTAATGGGAAACAGAAGGTGGTCTTAATTTAAGCAGCTCTCACTGTAATTAAAGAAGCTATTTAAACTTGAAATTTAGCCTGCTTTTAAATTGTTACAACATTCTAGAATATTATTAATTTCTGCACTCCCAGCTTGTGACACAAAAAGTCTATCAGAAAACACCTCAGCCATATTTATTTAAATGAAGCTAATTAAACCAGAACATAAACTGCATTGTAATTACTTCAGCCGTTCTCATCTCTAAAAAAATCTTCCCTATGGCAAGTTTCTTTTTTATATGAAAATGGAACAAAACTGTTGTTATGGAAACTGAGGATTTGGAGATGCTAGGACTTGGCATAATATGCCAGATCCTGGCTAGGTCTTGAATGGGCTCTATATTTTGTGAAAATTTAAGAATATTCATTTCAGTATTTCTCCATGGAGGCAATGATAAGACAGGCTAAAATATTGACAGTAACTGTAGATTACCTACCCTACTATGTATTAATAATATTTTTAAGTACAGTTTTGTAAGGGAATTGGGGAGGAAAAGGCCAAGTGTTGTCATTTACATTGTTTGCTTGTTTTTCTTTTAGCTCTTACGGAAGCGGCACATTGGGAATGATATTGTAACAATTGTTTTCCAAGAGCCTGGAGCACAGCCATTCAGCCCCAAAAACATCCGATCCCACTTCCAGCACGTTTTTGTCATTGTCAGGGTTCACAGCCCCTGCACTGACAGCGTCTGTTACAGGTACTGGTGCGTCAGCACTCACAAGGGACCCACCGGCTTTGCTTTCTGAAGTGGCAGTGGGAAGCCTATTGCTATTTATTTTTGTCATTAAACTGTGCGCACGGATGGCCGATTTCACAGGATGATGTAACCTGATGGCATTGACATTCCCCAGACATGTTGGTTAGACACCTGCCATTTCCATTTGCACCTCTTCCTTAGGTGGTGTCCTTCATCCATACCCATCTGGTCACCAACTAATTACTCATTCTGCTAATTATATTTTGCTTTTGGTATGGCAAGAGCAGAAGAGAATGATCATAATAAGTTGGAAAGAGAAGTTTATTTTTAAAATATATTCTTATTTTAAAAGCCCAAGCCCCTGCTTTGGACTGACTGAATTCACTAACGTTTCTGACTGCAGTTGTAGGGCTGTTTCTCTGCTTCAGTAAACATTTGGTGGAATTGTTTCACTATCCCTTGCTGACCTAGTCCCATGAGTATCAGCATCTGTCTGAAAAGGCCTTTACCAAGAGGACTGAAGGGGTTTCGTGTGGAAGAAGATAAGAACCTGTAATGCCAGGCTGATGTGGGTGTAGTGCCAAGATGTATAAGGGTGTTCTAGCATTGGTAAGATGTTTCTGATATGAATCCATCCTTGCAGAATAGGAATTTTTATCATATCTTTCAATTCCTAAATTTTGGAAGATTAGGCTTTGTTAATTTTGGATATTTATGTTGGAATTAATCTAACTACCTACACAGATACACAGGCTGGTAATTGGTGTGTCGTGACATCCATAACTGTCTGATTCCAGGTGTAATGCAGGTTAATTACAGGAGTAGAGCAAGTAAGTTCAGGAAACAAAACAAGGAAAGGTTTCTCTGGTTGCCTGCCACCATCCTTACATGATCCATAATAACCATGTTTGCTGAGCTCTGATTATGAGCCCAGCACTATTCCAGGCAGCTGACATGTTACCTCATTTAATTTGCAAAACCTATGAGGCAGGTACTATTTTTATCCCCATTTTCAGATGCAGAAACTTAACACACAGGAATAGGTAACTTGTCCAACGTCAGCTGGTCCTGGGGTGTAGATTAAATGCACTAAGTCTGATTCCAGAGCCCATCTCTTGAGCGCTCTGCTGTGCTGCCTCACTCTCATGCCATGTGAAGCAGGGGTCTCTGTGCCCTTGCTGCTGACCCACAAGCTATCTGAGAACTTCTCAGGTGCCAAGGCTATATGAAAACCTAAGACCAGGAAGTGTGTACTTCTCTAGGCTTGAGGTAGAAACTGAAACAAAGGAGACCTAGATTTGAAGCCTCTTAACCAACAATGTGGTCTCTGAAAGCTGCTTTAGGTGTGGAATAAGCATGGAACATTTGGCTATAATTGGGGTGGATGACTGTTTGCATTTAGGAAATGCCCCAAGCAGTGGAAACATGCTGTGTACTACATGTATGCAAAGGAGTTCATACCACTTTGTACATAGAGAACTAGCCCCTTTTTGAATGGTCACTAGAAAGTTTGGGAATGGACAAAACTATGCAATTTTTTTTAGAGAGAGTTTCTTTAAAAGACTTTGTCTAAATAAACTGCTGCCCAATAGAAATGAAATGTGAACCACATACTAATTTTATATTTTCTAATAGCCATATTTTTTAAAGTAACAATTAAGTAAAATTAATTTTAGCAATACATGTATATTTTCTGACCCAAGAATGTATTTTATTTACCTGATATATCCAGATACTATTATTTCAACATGTATTACAAATTTTAAATACTATTGAGGTATTTTACATATCCTTGGACTAAGACTTTGAAATTTGAAGTGTGTTTTAGACTTTTTATAGCTCATCTCAATTTTCATTGGAAATAATCTTTAGATTTCATAAAATTTGTAATTGGTAAAGTAGATTTATATGCTTCAGATTGTTCCAAACATGCTTTTGAGAAGTTTTTGAATAACTGAATCAAGTGTCAGTTTTAAAATTTTAATGTAATTTAGCACTGCTGGGTCACTCAAGCCCCATTCTGAGTGCTCAGTAGCCACCTATGTGGCCCGCGCAAGTCTAACCAGACTGATAAGGAAGGAAGGTGTTTTAGCCTTTTCAACATATTGCTACATGAGGAGGTGATAATTGCTTTATTCTTTTCAAACCACCCACATCCCCAGCCTGAAATCCAATTTTTGCTCTCTCTCTTGTTTTTAATCTGTGGCCTGGAGATCCCATCTTCTTACCCCCATGTCTGATGCTGGCAGCCTTTGCAGAAGGGCACTGAACATACCTGCTTATGTCACGTGGGCTAGTCTGGAATTGGCCAGTCGCCAAGCTTGTTGGAAGACCCAGTGCACTGCTCAGAAAGTGAACTTTGTTTGGCCTTCTGTAAATTCATGCAAACATACCAGTTTGTTAACAGCTCTGAAAGACATCACACGAAACTAAAACAGTGACCTTGCCCTATTGTAAACTTTAGGTGCATTAATTTTTCTGTCCTCAAACTGAGGTAGGCATGTTTTCTGGGGTTGTGGTGATATCAGATGTTTAAAGGCCATGAATAAATAGACCACCTCTCTTGTCGTCTTTAGTGTTGGGGGGAATAGGTGTGAAGGGGCTTATTTTCTCATGAAAAATAATGTACCATGAAGTAGAATGGAAAAATATGTATCAATTTAAAGATAAAACATGGGTCTTCAAAGAATTTTCATACCTGTTGGTTGAGAAATACCCCAGCCACTCCCCTAACTACTAGGGATGTGATTTGATAGGCCTCTTCCACTAGGGATACTTCAGTGGAAAAGCTTAGCAATGCATGGATTTATACAATTATATATAATCAATTTATACATTGATTTGTACAGTCAGTATTAAACCTAGTTTAACTTTAGCCCTAAGTGATACAGTTAGATTAATTCAAATGCTTTTTACCATTTAAAATCTCTTGCTCCCAAACTTTCTCCACTGGGAAGGTTCACATTTCTTTACTGACATCTACTTGATTCCTGTACTGTGGAAAGCACCACTGCTGTTTTCTCAAAGGCATTTCTTTTTTTTTTGAGAGGGCATCTCTCATATTTATTGATCAAATGGTTGTTAACAACAATAAAATTCTGTATAGGGGACTCAATGCACAATCATTAATCAACCCCAAGCCTAATTCTCAACAGTCTCCAATCTTCTGAAGCATAATGAACAAGTTCTTACATGGTGAACAA